ATTTATTTCAACAAAGTAACTGTATTCTAATTACCACCTTTTTAAACGGTAACTGTAACGGAATACAGTTACTCATATTTTGTATTTTAAATACGTAACGACGGTACATGTATCCCGTTGCTCCCCAACACTGCTTATAAGTTTCAATAGATTTAGTAGAACAAATAAAAATATATTTGGCAAACTTTTCAAACCAGATTTTAATTTTCTCAGATCGCAGCAGTCGTAGCTCTACAGTTAGAATCCACTTTTTCTCTGAAACAACATCTATTTAAATATTTTCAATGTCCTGTGAAGGTATCATGACTCATTTGGAAACCATCATCATTATTTGTCCCTCTTATGTTAATTCAAATCCTCGCCTGCAGAACACCAGCCTGCTCAACAGTCGGAAGAAGCTGGAGGCGGATCTGTCTCAGATTCAGAGTGAGATGGATGATAGTGTCCAAGCAGCCAGGAACGCTGAGGAGAAAGCCAAGAAAGCCATCACTGATGTAAGTCGATTTTTCTCAGTGTAAGCCTAAAAGATGCAGCAGTATGCTAGCCATTTTATTCCTTTTTTTCAGGCGGCCATGATGGTGGAGGAGTTGAAGAAAGAGCAGGACACCAGCGCTCATCTGGAGAGGATGAAGAAGAACCTGGAGGCGACTGTCAAAGACCTGCAGCAGCGCCTCGATGAGGCCGAGAACCTGGCCATGAAAGGTGGAAAGAAGCAACTCCAAAAACTGGAAGCCAGGGTAATCTGACCAAATAACATCTTTCTTCGGCTTTAGGAACAGGAGGGTGTTGCTCAAAAACACACGAGACTGATGACCAAATATTTTCTCCCTTCCAGGTGCGAGAGCTCGAGAACGAGCTTGAAGCGGAGCAGAGACATGGCTCAGAGTCTGTGAAAGGTGTGCGCAAACTCGAGCGCAGGATTAAGGAGCTCACCTATCAGGTAGAAAAACCGTGTTCACGTTCACAATGCAAGGTTTTTACAAATGTTACAAAAAATGGAGATCGTTTCTTTTCTGTCACCAAAAACTAGTCCGAGGAGGACAAGAAGAACATGATGAGACTGCAGGAGCTGGTAGACAAACTCCAGCTGAAGGTGAAAGCGTACAAGAGGCAGGCTGAGGAAGCTGTGAGTGGTTTTTCCTGTCAAACATGTTGTAGTTAGATGTTTGGAGAATTTGGAGAATTTCATTTAGGTTTTTTTTTTTGGTTGTTAACAGGAAGAGCAAGCCAACACTTACCTGACTAAGTTGAGGAAGGTGCAGCATGAGCTGGAGGAGGCCGAAGAGCGAGCCGACATCGCTGAGTCCCAGATCAACAAGATGAAAGTGAAGAATCGAGACACGAGCAAGGTGATCGAATCAGCCAAAGCTAATGCACCTTAAACTCACTGTAATAAGCGCTAATGACTTCTTGTTCTTCTCATTTTCAGGTAAAAGACAGCGGGGAGTAGTGGCGATTAAAGAGCATTAAGAAGATATTGAAAGCTGAGTCTCTGAAACTCATTTGAGCTCATTTACAACATATTCTTAATCAAACGTGTGTTTTTCTTCCATTTAAAGCCGCTGTGGGTATAATTTATGTATGAAGAAAAGAAGACTTAATTCTCAGATAAAGACCTAAAATTGGTGGAGAACAAAATCAGAGATAAAAAGATGAAGCGGTGCTCGGTTACAGAGCAGTACCGCCACGATAACGTTGATCTGGACGCTGTAAAACGAGCAGCAGCATCCTGCCAGCAGCTGATATTTTAATAGTTGAAAAATAACAATTCTGTCTTTGGCTTCCTCCCACAGTCCAAAGACACATTTACTAAGGTTAGGTAACGTCATACACACAGTGACTTTAAACCTTAAGCGAGGCAGTTATCTTCTGT